CATATCGCTTACAAATACTAGGGGAAAAAAACACATCACAGCAATAACAAGGTTATTTCTAGGTGGTGGATTGTGAGTAACTTTACTTGCCTTTTAAAATACTTTTTATTATTTATTTATTTATTTATTTATTTTGAGATGGAGTCTTGCTTTGTCGCCAGGCTGGAGTGCAGTGGCACCATCTCGGCTCACTGCAACCTCCACCTCCCAGGTTCAAGCGATACTCCTGCCTCAGCCTCCTGAGTAGCTGGGATTACAGGCATGTGCCACCACGCCCGGCTAATTTTTGTATTTTTAGTAGAGACGGGGTTTCACCATGTTGGCCAGGCTGGTCTCGAACTTCTGAACTCAGGCAATCCGCCTGCCTCAGCCTCCCAAAGTGCTGGGATTACCGGCATGAGCCACCACGCCCGGCTAAATACTTTTTGATGTTTTAAAACATCCGTTGAATAATTTTAAGTGTTCACTGTGGAAGAGGAACCACACCAGAGGGCTTCATATATGTTGTTTTAAACCATATATGTTGTTTTAAACTTCATATATGTTGTCATAAACCCACAAGATACGTAATATTATCACTCATTTACAAAGAAACTGAGGTTCCAAAGCATTAAGTAATTTGCACAAATCCCACAACTCTAACGAGCCTGATTTCCAATCTCTGACTTCAAAGCTCATGCTAATTTGTACTTTCTCTGGCTCAACCGGTGTCCTCCTCTATTAAGTGGGTGTAATATTTGTATCTTAAAATATGGTGGGAGGATGGAATGAAATGATAGGTATGAAAGTCCACCGCAAATGATAAAGCCTTCAACAAAGAGTATTAATAATGGGTAACGTACACATAGTGTGCGCCCGGTACTGGGCTGTTCCAAGGGCTTTGTAGATACCACGTTCCCTTAATCATCTCAGTGATCCTGTGAGGCAGATGGCCATTATCCCCATTTTACAGAAAGGATATTGAAGAACAGAGAAGCTAAGTAATATGCCAGGGTCAGACCACTGTACATTATACCAGTTATCCAGATGGGAGCCTTTCAATTAGAAATGACTCCCAAGTCACCTGTTTCCCAATGTTCTCCCCAACTCCTTCCCCAGGGATACACTGTACCTTACTAGGTGGTAGGTAGTCCACCTGGCTCAGCAGGAGGTCAGAGATGAGAGGTCAGACATTAGGTTTAGTGCTCAATGGTATGCACGGACCTTGCTTTCTGAGGACTGCCTGGGACAACCACGCACTCCAAAGACACTGCTGCCACCTGCTGTTCACACATTCTCCACCCAATGGCTTCTCCCCAGCACCTACATGCATGATCCTCTCAAGAACATTACCGTCTTTCCCAGACCCATTCTGCAGCCTGGGTAAAAGAATTTAAACTTTTGCTCAGTTTCAAATGCAAGAAGGGTAAACCCTGAGAAATAGAAGAGCTTGAATAAGGGAGCTGAGACACACTTCTGAGCAGTGTGACCTCGGGGCCCTTAGCCTCTTTAAGTCTGTTTCTTCATTTGTAAAATGAAGACACCATAATAACATGTGCTTCACGCAGTTGTTTTTAAGATAAAATAAGATATTTTTTCCAATCTACAAGTTACTTTCCTATCAGAAAAAAAAAATGTTAAATATGTAAAGGGGGCAAGGCAGGATGGGACACAATTAAACGTCCTAAATACCTAAAATCATCTCTGCTTACATTACCGTTTTTAACAAATCTTTAACATTTTTTCAGAATAAGGCATCTTGATTTATATTTTGCTACTGATTTTGAGCTTATCAAAGTAAATTCTGTCATTCTATTTGCATTTTATTGAGTATCTGAACCAGAAATGTGAAATGGGGAAAAGGTTACCTGATTTTTTTTTTTTTAATGAAAAAAGGTTTCATAATTAAAATGGTCTCTTCCATCTGAGATTCTCAGAATATTTCCAAGATTCTGGTTCACAAGTTTCACATCACTTCTTTCAGGCAAATGGGCAACCTAAAACAGAGAAAATTGGAGTGGCCTTTTTCCACTTAAGTTCCCTTGGGAACTGACACAAATAGCAAAGCTAAGAGGCCTGGCTCCCGCTACGCAGCTATAAACATCACACCAGATTCTGTTTGCCTGAAAACTCCTTCTGACTGAGTCTAGATGCCAGTTGTTAGATGATAGTCAATTTGCATGTTGTAATATTCCCGGATGCTTAACTTATGTTGCTGGTTTAGAAGTTCAGTAAAACTGAAAGTGTATTATTAAGTTCCAGCAAGAATGTGTAAACTATTTCAGTAGTATCCACCCTACTGCATACCATAGACCTGGATATCATGGTTTAAAGGGGCAGATCTAGCTGCTCTCACCCTCTCAAGGGGAGGTTGAGTACCAGCTCATTCTCCTACGTCTTTGGTATGGACAAAAGGCTAACTGAAGATACTATCAGCTACCTGGATTTATCTTTCTGGTGACAAAACTTTTCCCTCTAAAAAAGTAGCCCTTGAAAATTGTCTTTCCTTTGTGGAAATAAAAATAGCATTTTAAAAGAATAGCATTTGATACCTATTAAATTAGTAAAATTTTATAATAAATTGCTCAATGCTGGAATGTTAGCAATGAGATAAAATATGTTAACAGCATCAAAATTTGTGGGATCCTTTTGGAAAGCAATAAAAATATATTTGCAGGAACTCTAAAGAGTTTTTACGCTTTGAGCTAATAATTCTATCCTGGAGACTTTAGTTTTCAACAAAGGCAAAAAGCTATATTTAAGAAGCCAGTTGTTGTAGCATTATTTTTATTTTTTGAGATAGCATTTTGCTCTTGTTGCCCAGGCTGGAGTGCAATGGTGCAATCTCAGCATACTGCAACCTCCACCTCCCAGGTTCAAATAATTCTCCTGCCTCAGCCTCCCAAGTAGCTGGAATTACAGGTGTGTGCCACCATGCCCGGCTAATTTTGTATTTTTAGTAGAGATGGGGTTTCACTATTTTGGTCAGGCTGGTCTCAAACTCCTGACCTCAGATGATCCACCTACCTCGGCCTCCCAATGTGCTGAGATTACAGGTGTGAGCCACCGTGCCTGGCCTGTTTGTTGTAGTATTATTAACAGTAGAAAAAGAAAAACCTGGAGACAACCTACATCCTGACCCAAAAGGAATCATGATTAATTCAGTTCATGGAATGTTATTTCACCATTAAAATGATAAACACGGAGGCTAAGTAGGAATGTGGATGCCTATCAAAGTATAATCACAAAAAGAAGAAAAAAGAAATGTGGAGAAATGCTTAAGTGAAAAAAGGGCAGAATACCAAAATGATATGTACATTGTAACTACAGCCCTCTTAAGTTTAAGTGCTTCTGGATGCCAGCGAGGCTGTAATGGGCAAAAACACAGAGCGATGTTAAGATGGTAGAATTCTGGATGATTTCTCTCTTTTTATTTCCAAATTCCCTTAATATGTTTTCATTATAAAAAGAAAACTGGGGGCCAGGCACAGTGGCTCAAGCCTGTAATCCCAGCACTTTGGGAGGCCGAGGCGGGTGGATCACGAGGTCGGGAGATCGAGAGCATCCTGGCTAACACGGTGAAACCCCCGTCTCCACTAAAAATGCAAAAAACTAGCCAGGCGAGGTGGCAGGCGCCTGTAGTCCCAGGTACTCAGGAGGCTGAGGCAGGAGAATGGCGTGAACCCGGGAGGCGGAGCTTGCAGTGAGCTGAGATCCGGTCACTGCACTCCAGCCTGGGCGACAGAGCGAGACTCCATCTCAAAAAAAAAAAAAAAAAAAAAAAAAAGAAAACTGGCCTTTCAGGGTGTAGATATTCTGAGTTAACCTAGTTGCTCTACAGAGTACCTCTTTCTCCAATGGGGAGGCAGCCATGATCTATTTGGAAAAGCCAATGATTTCTCATTCTATCATAGTAAGCTGCAAAATAAATCCATCAAGCACTACAATGATCAAATATGATATATTGCAATTAGAAGAAGCAAGGCAGAAAAATATCCTCTATTAAAGAATCTTGTGTTTCTAAATTTTCAGTATGTTGATCTGGGTTGATCTGTGCTAAGGTGACACTTGTCCAGACTTGATGGAAGAATTATAAAGTGACTATGAAATATGTCAAGGCCTGTTTCAGTACCAACTTGCATGTGACTAGCACTTTATAATTGTATTTATTTATTTATTTAGAGACAGTCCCACTCTGTCACCCAGGATGGAGTGCAGTGACGCAATCTCAGCTCACACTGACATCCACTTCCCAGGCTCAAGCAATTCTTATGCTCCAGTCTTCCAAATAGCTGGGATTACAGGCACCCGCCACCATGCCCAGCTAATTTTTGTAAATTTAGCAGAGACAGGGTTTCACCATGTTGGCCAGGCTGGTCTCGAATTCCTGACCTCAAGTGATCCACCCACCTTGGCCTCCCGAAGTGCTGGGATTACAGGCATAAGCCACCGCACCCGGCCTATAATTTCTTAAATGTTTTCACATCTTTTATCAAGTTTGAGTTTCCCAACTCTGTATAGAAGGCAGAGCATGTAGTATTTTATACATGGGGACACTGAGGCTTAGAAAACTAAGTGATTTGCCCAAGTTCACACAGCTAGTAAACAGCAGAGCTGAAATTAAACGTTGGAGAGCTGTCTGTCATAAGGGGACATGAGTAAACACTCACTTTCAGTGAGTGTTGGCATGTAGCATATCAACTCTGAGCTACATGGATTATGGAGAAAATACTGATTGACTTTTTAAGCCCAGAAAGGAATTTTTTTTTTTTTTTTTTTAGACGGAGTTTCTCTCTTGTTGCCCAGGCTGGAGTATGATGGCGCAATCTCAGTTCACTGCAACCTCTGCCTCCCAGGTTCAAGCAATTCTCCTGCCTCAACCTCCCGAGTAGCTGGGATTACAGGCATGTGCCACCACACCCAGCTAATTTTGTATGTTTTTAGTAAAGACGGGATTTCTCCATGTTGGTCCGGCTGGTCTCGAACTACCGACCTCAGGTGATCTGCCCGCCTCGGACTCCCAAAGTGCTGGGATTACAGGCATGAGCCACCGTGCCTGGCCCAGAAAGGAATGTTTTGTGAGGTATGAATGGTTAGTGTGCCTGGGGAGGCCCATGCAATGACCTGTTGGAGAATCTGATAGCAACATGGTAAGGCCAGAGTGTGGTACAATTGCAGGAAGATGACTCAGGACCTCGGTACCCACAAACAGGAGGCATCTATGAGAGGGAGGCGGAGGTATGCAGTGCCCGATGGAGACTTTGGGAGGAAGATCTAAGGATGGACCTAGCCTTAGATCTTTGGTCCCCCAGTGATCAAGAGAGCTCAGAGGAAAAGCTTTCAAACTTAGACCGGGGCATAGAAATAAAGGGAATAACTCTTGAGATGGTTTCTAAGAAAGAACTAAGTAGCCACACATTGATAACAACAGTCATATTCCCAGCCTCCCTGTGGTTCCTGACATGGCTCTGGGCACCTATGCTTGAGCCAGCAAGCTCAGGCTTCCCACGCTGGGATCTGCAGACTCACCCCCAGACACCTATGGAGTTTCAAATTCTGTCTTTCCCTTTGATTACTGTTTAAAATTAGATTTGTGGTTGCAGGTTCTGGGTCCTCTGGCCAGCCGCTGAGTACCATAACATGGTTTCACAATCTACATTGGCACTGTGTTTAGATGGGATTGGAGCCAAATAATGCTATTTGCATTGTCACAGGCTAGAGGGAAAAAGAATAGAGGTGGACTTACTATGTAAACAAGTAGAGACCAAAGGACGTCACAAAGCATTGTATGCCAAATGTTTTCCTAGTCACTCAAATGGAAAACTGGTGGATACGCAGAGTTAACACACAGTCCATGGGGTACAGGCATGGAACATGCTCAAGAAAAAATATCTGCCCACAACCCCCAGAGGGAGGTGCAGATGCCAACCAAGCAAGCCAGAGTCAGGATCTGGTTCCTGGAGGCTGAAATCCAGGGAAGCCAGAGAGGAGAGAGCCAGAAGATGAGTGAGTATCCATATTCTTCAACAGCAGTCCAGTGCTAAGACAGGGCATGAGGACCAGCTCCACCGGAAACACCAGCCAGCATCTTAACCGGGGAGGAAGGAAGGTGTGTGCTGGGCAAGTGGGGCACGTGACAGAGTGGAACTGAAGTGGCCGTCACTTGCCCTTAGGCCAGTAGGTAAGATTGGGGTGACCCATGTATCTTATGGTAATGAACAAAATCATTACCATGGCATTGTCTTTTTTTTTTTTTTTTTGAGACAGTCTTGCTCTGTCGCCCAGGTTAGTGTGCAGTGGCACGATCTTGGCTCACTGCAACCTCCGCCTGCTGGATTCAAGTGATTCTCATGCTTGAGCTTCCCGAGTGGCTGGGATTACAGGCGTACGCCACCACGCCCGGCTGGATTTTTGTATTTTTAGTAGAGATGGGGTTTCACCATGTTGGCCAGGCTGGTATTGAACTCCCGAACTCAGGCGATCCGCCTGCCTCGGCCTCCCAAAGTGCTGGGATTTTTTTTTAACACCCCCACCCCCTCAACCCCTCTCTATCGTGCAAAGTGCAGCCAAGGTCGAGAATCCTAGATGTTAATGATGAAGCCAGAGGTGTGGCTGGGGTCACTGCGCAGGTGTATGTAGATCTCCACAATGAGGCGCAGGGGCCTTCCTTAGAAGTGCATTGGGTATTAACAGTGATTAAGCATTAATTTGCTTTCCTCATCCCTTCCCCTTCTCATAATGTGTAATTGAACGAAAGTAATGGAGAGTTTGGAGCACACTGGCCAGGCTTCCTGTCCAAGAGCCTTCAGCCTCATCCTAAGGTACACACTCCTCTCCTGCACTGTGTGCTGGGAGGCTGGGTTTCTAGCCTTTGGGTAGCAGAATCTGACTGAATGTTCCAAAGGGGTCCACTCACTTTAACAAAGGACTTTTTTCTTTCTTTCTTTTTTTTTTTTTTTTTGAGACAGGGTCTTGCTCTGTTGCCCAGGCTGGAGTGCAGTAGCACAATCTCAGCTCACTATAATAGCTGCCTCCCGGGTTCAAGCAATTCTCATGCCTCAGCCACCAAGTAGCTGGGATTACAGGCATGTGACACCACACCCGGCTAATTTTTGTATTTTTAGTGGAGATGTGGTTTTGCCATGTTGGCCAGGCTGGTCTCGAACTCCTGGCCTCAAGTGAGCCACCTGCCTTGGCCTCCCAAAGTGCTGGGATTACAGGCTTGAGCCACTACCCCCAGCCACAAGTGACTTTAATTAAGAGATCCAAATGGTGCCACCAGGACACTTAGGCCCAGATATTCAAATGTGAAATCCTGGAAATTCTGTCCCAACAAAGCAACCAAGTGTCTTGTTATTTAAAAAACAAATCACATTGTGGCCAGGCGCAGTGGTTCAGGCCTGTAATCCCAGCACTTTAGGAGGCCAAGGCGGGGGTATCACTTGAGGTCAGGAGTTCGAGACCAACCTGGCCAACATGGTGAAACTTTGTCTCTACCAAAAATACAAAAATTAGCTTAGTGTGGTGGCGCACGCCTGTGGTCCCAGCTGTTTAGGAGGCTGAGGCCTGAGAATCACATGAACCCGGGAGGTGAAGGTTGCAGTGAGCCGAGATCGTGCCACTGCACTCCAGCCTGGGTGACAGAGTGAGACTCCGTCTCAAAATAAATTAAAATATAAAAAAATAATGTTGGGAGAAAAGTGTTCATGCAGATTCTTATACCAGAGAATCTATTCTAACTGAAAAGGGAAAAAGGGCAAGGATTCCAAGACATGCCTGTTAGAGACATCCAGCCTACAGCAATGAGGCAGAGATTGCTCTGGACTGCGTTGACTTTTGCACCCAGAGTTAATTTGGTTTGACAGACTGCCAAATCCTGAAGTTCAAAAGACCATAACAAGTGGGGAAAGGGGCCAACATTCTTGGGGTTGGATTCCCAGAATTCTCCAAATATGAGTCTCCATAAGTAAGGCTCTCAGTCTAAGGCTCCCTCATGATGGTGGTTTGGTTTTAGAGATAGTCCATCTCCCCACCGCAAAGAATGTTAGGGGAATTCTGATGATAAAAGCATCAACCATGTCGGCCACCTACGAACTTGAACTTAGATATGTAAACTTCTCCCAGAAGCCACCAACATAGTCATGTCTGAGGTTCACAAGGATGGAGCAACCCCCTCACACTGAAGGCAGCTGTTTTCATTAGGCCTGTCACAAAATACACAAGAGCTAGCATTTCCTCCTTTTAAAAATGTTTCATTGCAGACCAGGCACGGTGGCTCACACCTGTAATCCCAGCAATTTAGGAGGCCGGTAGGGTGGATCACTTGAGGTCAAGAGTTCAAGACCAGCCTGGCAAACATGGCGAAACTCCATCTCTATGAAATATACAAAAATTAGCTGGGCATGGTGGTGCATGCCTGTAGTCCCAGCTACTTGGGAAGCTGAGGCATGAGAATCACTTGAACCTGGGAGGTGGAGGTTGCAGTGAGCTGAGATCACACCACTGCACTCCAGCCTGGGCGACAGAGCGAGACGCTGTCTCAAAAAAAAAAAAAAAAAAAAATCAGGCTACTTAATAGTAACTTATATATGCTGTGAAGCTTGATTCCATCTTCGAAACTTTCCACCTCTTGCCTCGTATTGAAACTGTCACCATCTCCTGTTAGATTTTTACCGCCAAACTACCTCTGAGAAACCAACCACTCCTCTTCTTCTCCATTGCTACCACCCCAGCCAGGTCACCTTCATGTCTTACCTCTGTTACCAAAAGAACCTCCTAACTGCTCTCCCTACACCAATCCTGTCCTCTCCTGCCTCCCCATAAAAGCTGTTCATGCTACAATCAGGAAGATGGTTTCAGCACACCTGATCCGTCCCCTCTCTCTTCTTGCTGAAAATCTTTGCTCTTAGGCTAAAACTCAAAACCCTCAGGTTGGCCCCTGCCTGCCCATACAACCCCCCTTGACCTTTCCTCCCCATCTGTCTGTCTCTGCCCGCAGCCACAGCCACCTCCCAGCTCCCCGACTCCTCCCTGTCACCTCTCCGATAATCACAGTTCAAATGGCACTTCCATAGGGAAGTCTCCCTTGAGGACCCCCAATCTGGGGCAGTTCTGTTTTAAATTTTCATTAACTGTCTTTAAGAGCAACTAATCTTCATTTATAATTACACATACTTGAATGTGAAGATGTGATAACAGAAAATTCATTTTCTCTACTGGCCTCTAGGCTCTCTGAGCCTTACCCAGAGCCTGGCGCATAAACAGGTTCTTGCAGAATGTTTTTTTGTTTTTTTTTTTTGTTTTTTTTTTTTTTGAGATGAGTCTCACTCTGTCGCCCAGGCTGGAGTGCAGTGGCACGATCTCGGCTCACTGCAAGCTCCGCCTCCAGGGTTCACTCCATTCTCCTGCCCCAGCCTCCCGAGTAGCTGGGACCACAGGTGCCTGCCACCACACCCGGATAATTTTTTGTATTTTTAGTAGAGACGGGGTTTCACTGTGTTAGCCAGGATGGTCTCGATCTCCTGACCTCATGATCCACCCGCCTCGGCCTCCCAAAGTGCTGGGATTACAGGTGTGAGCCACTGCGCCTGGCTGAGAATCAGTTTTTTTAAAAAAGGTTACCACGAAGGAGGTATTCCCCGAATTTTGAGACAAGGTTACTAATAAAACTCAGTGCATAATGGATGAGAGTATTTCTGCACAGAATCCAGAAAGGAAAGTCCTAACAAGTTATCAAAAAGACAGGAGAAGGGCAGAGCAGAGCAGACTTTGGAACCTGGGATGTGTGGCCAAAAGTCAGAGAGGCAGGGAGAAAAGGGCAGGGAGCTGTGAGGTCCTGGATAACACTGGGTCAAATGCTGTCACTGGGGACTGGTCTGTAACACAATTTGTCAGAGAGGTTAAGGGAACCCAGGATGGGACAGGTCCCATCAAGCAACCATAAAAGATGACTTGTAACTATCAGAGATGGAGAGTTGGGAGTAAGTAGAGCAGTACCTGACAATCAGCACTGGAGTCCATCTGACAAAAGTCTATAGTGTCTACAAGAAGGGAAGCCTGAGTGTCAGAAGTTTCCTCTCCTTGTTGATTGGATGGCAGACTGGGGCCCAGCTGCTTTGCAGCCAGCTGATGACCCGTTCATGGAGGTTGCACACACCCCTGTACTCTGGTTTCAGGTTCCTCAGCAGCCTCTGCCCATAGGCTGGCTTAACTATGATCCTGCTATGGGAAGAGAAAAAAACTGACCGAAGGAGATAGGCTGAATAACGGCTCCCTCCAGATGTCCATGTCTTCATCCCTGGAACCTGTGAATACATTACTTTAATTGGAAAAAGGGACTTTGTGGCTGTGATTAAACTAAGAATGTTGAAATGAGGAGATTCTCCAGGATCGTCTGGATGCGCCAAATCTAACAAGAAGGAGTCCAGGTCGTCAGAGTCATAGAGGCTGGAAGCTGCTATGCTGCTGGCTTTGAAGGCAGGTGAAGGGGCCAAAGAATGAAGGTGGTCTCTAGAATCTGGAAAGTGCAATTAAACTGATTATCCCCTAGAGCTTTCAGAAGGCAGGCAGCCCTGCCCACACCTTCATTTAAAACCAGTGGAACTGATTTCAGACTTCTGACTGCCAGAATTGTAAGGTAATAAATGTGTATTGTTTGAAGCTACTAAGTTTGTAGTCATTTGTTACATCAGCAACAGAAAACGTATACACTAACGAGCATAAATATCTGGTCAACAGATCAGTACCCAGATCATTCATTCAGACTCTGGAGATCATTCAGACTCTGGAGATCATTTAGACTCTGGAGAGTCTGGTATCTGTCATTCAGTCCCCTGGGCCAGATTATTGCTAGGTGGTCACCAAATCAAGTTTCTGGATCTGCTAAGCTGAGTCCCCATGTAGCTGACCTCAACCTCTCCAAGGTCCTTCCACCCTGGGAAGTCTGGCCTGGCCTGAGGAACGGCTGGCTCTTCCTCATGAAAACCACACCGACTAGTCACTGATCACTCATGATTTGTCGGCTGTCAGGTGAGGTTTGGGAATACAGCATAGACTTGGTACCAGGGAGGCCTGGTTCACAGCCCCTCTCTACCAGTCGTGTGATCATGAATGAGTTACTTAACTTCCTTCAACCTGGAAAACGGAGGTGACATCTCTTTAGTGTATAGTTCTGTAAGGATCGACAGAGACAATATGTACCTAATACCAAACACAGGGTCAGGCCTAGGGTAGGCTTCCGATCAAGCTTGCCCCTTCCTGCTCACATACCCATGAGTCTCACCATGCTCATCTCTTTGTATACTGGACACTTCAGCTACTTCCTCTTCCGTGTTATAAGCCCCATGGCGTCCCTGTGTTCTGTTAGCCCCCTGGCTACAAGTCAGTGACCTTACCCATCATCTTCCTAGTGGCCTGCTGACTTAGTTGGGGTTTCCCCACAAGTAGAACCTGAGACAAGGATTCCAGCTCAGGTAGTGTGTGGGAGATGAGCCTAGGAAACACCACAGAAGATGTGAGACAGGGAAAGGAAGGAGACAGTGAAGGATGCGAGATCATGCAAGTTACCTACATGGCGGAAGCTTGATCCCCTCGGGGAACTCAGAAACAGTTATCCCAGAAGGGCAAAAGTGCTGAGGCATTTTACACCTACTCCCAGCCGTCTTTATTTTTTTGAAGGGGACAGCAATTACTCCCCAACACTTCCTGCCTGCTGCACTCATGGACAAGACAGGCTCCAGCACCAGAGTCCTCAGGCAGGTACTGGCAAGTAGAAGGGCTGACATGGGGAGGTGGGAGCCACAGCTGCCACATCTGAGGAGTGTCACTTTGGCTACCTGTCTCCCTGGTCACAGCTTCCCCCTGGCCTTGCCTATTCCTTGACCAGTCATGAGCTCGACCTGCCTATTGCATTGTTCAGACCTAACTGCATCCTAGTCTCTAGCTCCTCCAATTTGCAAACAGATAAATGAAAGGAATTTGTAAAAAGATTTTATTGTATATATTTAAGATATATAACATGCTGCTTTGATATACACATAGATAATGAAATGGTTTGTGACGAAAAGGGAGACCATTTCCTCAGCAAACTAACAGCTGCTCTCTCTGGTCTGGGCCTTCTACTCTACCTTTAAACATCCCGCATCACTATCTCCATTTTGCAACTCTTAAAGCTCCAGTCTGCATATGTCAAAGGCTGATCAGGTTCAATAAAATTTTTTTTGTCACCTTTAAAACCTCTAATTCTTTCTCCCAGCTAATCACATAAAAGTTACAAGCATCTCTGGGTTATCATTATGGCCCTGTTATCATTACCTGAGAATGTTTGAAAAACATCCCACAGAGAACTCTAACTAAAAAAGTCTGGAAAACAAGAGAGTCGCCGTATCAAACACTTGTTTATCACAGGCCGGGTGAAGCGCTGGGAGATGAGATTATTAGATATACCCAGGACTCAAGATCCAACTCTTACACCCTAGATGCTGTTCATTAGTAAGAAATCATTATGGAGGGCCTGCTAGATGCAGAGTGCTTGTGTTGGGTTCCATCAAGAACAGAGAGAGGCTTGAGAAGCTTCCAGAAAGAACTTCTCTTTCCTAAAACAATGCTGAACCTATTCCAACTTCCACTATTAGGGAAGTTTTTTTCCTTTTCTCTTTCTCTCTATTTTCTTTTCCCTTTCTTTCTTTCTTTCCTTCCTTCTTTTCTTTTCTTTTCTTTTCTTTTCTTTTCTTTTCTTTTCTTTTCTTTCCTCTTACCCAGCATCATCTTCTATAGTGAACCTCTTGCTGAGAGGTTTAGAATTTTTGTACTATGTGGCTGAAAGGGACCTCAGAGTGCATGCTGGTTTACAGATACAGATCCTAACATTCGGAAGGGAAATCATTAGCCTGAAGTGGGCCCACCTCATTGGTGGTTGAACAGGGCCTGAAATCCTTGCCTCTTGTCCCTAGTGCTTCCCTGCTTTATCCTTTAAACTGTTACTAGGTCGGGTGCGGTTGCTCATGCCTGTAGTCCCAGCATTTTGGGAGGCCGAGGCAGGTGGATCATGAGGTCAGGAGTTCAAGACCAGCCTGGCCAAGATGGTGAAACCCTGTCTCTATTAAAAATACAAAAATTAGCCGGGTATGTTGGTGGGCACCTGTAATCCCAGATACTCAGGTGGCTGAGGCAGAGAATTGCTTGAACCCGGGAGGTGGAGGTTGCAGTGAGCCACGATCATACTACTGCACTCCAGACTGGGCAACACAGCAAGACTCCATCTCAAAAAAAAAAATGTATATAAGGCAGCCAGCACATAGCAGTCACAAAGCAGTCTAATAATAATCATGAGCTGTCACCATTTGTCTCCCTATAGGTGTGACATGGCTTAGTCCAACTTAAGGTCCACTCCTGACTTGAATTCCATTTTCCAGACCCCTGATAGGTTTGGTTCTCTCCAGCTAAAACTCAAGATCTACAAATGAAAATCTTCAGAGAATTCAACTTAGTAGCAGACTGCTAGAGCTACTCTGTAAAGCAGTAATCATAACCAATTGATTTCACCATTTTTCTATAAAAAGTACAGTTTGACACTCATTCATATGAAGTTTTCAATACATGTTTGTTGAAACTTACCATGTGACCAGCATTGGGCTCACCCTGGAGAAAACTAAGTCTCTAATCTGAGGGAACTCACAAATCATTGGCAGAGAAATCTCAAAGAACAAACCCAAAAAGTCTAGTACAATTGTAACATGGGGTTAAGTGTGACAATAGAGGAATGCAGGGCACAAAGAGGGAGGAAGACACTGTTTGCCAGGTGGACACTGGAGGGAAAAACGTTCCAGGAAGAAAGAAAGCCTGTCCAATGCCCTGGAGGCATTTAACAGCCATCTATTTTAGTAGAACTGAAATCGACCTCACAGCGGGATAGAGATGGGGTAGGAGGGAGGAGCCTGATTCTGAGAAGCCCTTTGTATCACGCACGTTCTTAGCTGCAAATTCAAAGACCACTTTGGCCAGTTACATAGAAAATGAATTTATTAAAGCATGTGGGGTGGGATGGCTGCATATTTTGTCTCCTCATTTGAGAGGGAAAGTGGAGTTATTTTTAATTATGCCAGGATTGCAAGTGTAAAGGACACATGAACGGAGTCTTTTAAGATTCGGGTGCTCCTAGAAGCTGGGACATTGAGAGCGGCCTTGCGACTGATCCAGTGGGGGGTAAAGTGGGGCAGCCCTGCCATGCTATGAGAACCCCTGCCGTTTACTGCCCAGAGAGCTGCATGTCTCATCCAACACCCTCAATGGCATTGCCAGCTTCTGACTATGTGCACCTCTGATTGGTGAGGCCTGCTTCACACACGTGCTGCCAAGCGAAGGGAGACGGCCTGGGAAAGCAAATTCCTGATGGCACCACCTACCCGCTTCAGCCGGGACCTCCCTGCGGCTTTGAATGGCACCCTGGTCAGCTCCTGGAGAGAGGCCGTTGAAGTGGACTTGGCAGGGGAAATAGTACCTGAAGCAACCAAATGTTCACTTGAAATTGCACTGTTTTGATAGCTAGATGTGACAGATAAGGTGTTGGATCAGATGGAGATATCACTAAAATCCCCCTCTACCCAGGTGGGGAGGGATTTGGCCAAGCAAAGCAGGTAGCAATTACTGGGAAAACCAAAACCTTCGATGTTTATACTCCAGTGGATTGGGAGCTCTTAAACAACCAGTTACAGTTGTTAACTGCCCTCTTGGGGCTATGAAAAACCCAGACCTTCCAGGGTCAGAGGCCTGGCCTCCCTTCTTGGCAGAAGAGGAAATGAAGTTCATTCCTTTGTGGTGAACCTGATTCTGTAAAAACAAAACCCATTTTTTTCTCAATAGGTTATCCTACCACATGTCCAACCATAGGAGTCTGGAGTTTCTCTTATTGGTTAAGCTTTAGAGCATTTTGAATAGGAGTTAGATATGGTTATATTTGAGTTTCAGAACATTCATCCTGGTTCATATTCCGTCTTTTTTTTTTTTTTTTTTTTTTTTTTGAGACAGGGTCTCACTTTGTCACCCAGGCTGGAGTGCAGTGATGCAATGTTGTCTCACTGCAGCCTCAACCTCCTGGGCTCAAGTGATCCTCTCACCTCAGCCTCTCAAGTAGCTGGGACCACAGGCGCACACCACCACACCTGGCTAATTTTTGTATTTTTTTGTAGAGATGGGGTTTCACCATGTTACCTAGGCTGATCTTGAACTCCTGAGC